CCCCCCCACACACACATTCTATACTGGTATAAGAGAGCTGACGTGAAAGGAGCACCAGGTGGTGACAGGTGCTCTTTATGGAGACAACAGTGCTGTAAGAAGACCTGTGCTGCCTCCTCTGCCATTAAACTGCAGCTCCCCCGACTGGTGTACTGGACCAGCATAGAGGAGACGCGCCATCCGGGGCTTGCGGAGATTCCAGGACGCTTAAGGGGGAAGGGAGGCTCAGGGGACCATTTAAACAATCACAACTCCCGGGGATCCAACGCTGGATCTCCTCCTTGGCGTGTGACCCCCGGCAGTCCCGGGTTCGACCCAGAAGTCCTGTGCCGCAGTAGATCGGTACCACCACCCCTCCAGCCTCTGTGTCCTCTGTGCCTCTGTGTCCTCTGTGCCTTCCTCCTGCCTCTGTGTCCTCTGTGCCTACCTCCAGCCTCTGTGTCCTCTGTGCCTTCTTCCAGCCTCTGTGTCCTCTGTGCCTTCCTCCAGCCTCTGTGTCCTCTGTGCCTTCCTCCAGACTCCAAGCGTGATCCCAATCCACGTCATCTGGTGACTCCAGTGTGCCCAGTGACTCCAAGCGAGATCCCAGACCATATGTCATCTAATTATTTTAGTGCACCCGGTGACTGCAAGTATGCTCCCAGTCCATGTGTCATCTAGTGACTTCAGTGTACCCAGTGACTCCAAGTGCGCCCCCCAGTCCACGTGCCGTGTAGCGGTTCCTGTGTGCCCTCAGCCCCTGTGTCATCTAGTGACTACAAGTGCCCCCCTCTTCTGCACTCCTATGACCCTCCTGCGCTGTCACAGTCTCTCTCCCTTTGGATTTGGACCTCTGTCCCTGACACCTAGAAGTTTATAATAGCTTCAAGATTCTGGACTGAAGCTCGTCTTTAATAGTTATGTCGGTGACAGTAAAATACACGCAGAGTAACATGTCTGTCTTCTACGTGCGCTCCGTTGTCATACGCGGGCCCCTCCGTGTGCACAGATGTCACGTCCTATAGGTGGCCGGTGCAGACAAAGACGTCGCTCCCAGCGCCCGTGTTCAGGGATTCTCGTCCTTAAGCCGACATCCGTGTCAGATGTTGGAGTCGGATGCGTTACGTCAGCCGCTGTTACTTTGTAAATGAAGTGTGTTCGGTTGGTACGAGGTCGCCGCGGTGGAATGCGTCTCGGCTGCATGTGGAATGCATTGTGAAAGCACGCTCTGATCTTCCCACCTGCTTGCAGTACATTCCCCCTTCACAGCGAGGGAAGAAAAGCCGCACGTGGAACCGGCTTGTAGAGGAAGGACGGGCTGTGCTAAGAAAATACAAAGCAGCGCAAAGGAAATGCTACTGAAAACACAAATCTACATTCACATTCTATTCACATTCTATTCACATTCGATGAATGTGTTGACAACCCTTCGAAAACACTTTTCATGCATTTCTGAAGTGCAAATCTTCATCCCCCTCCCCCACAATACCCGACAACTGCTTATAACTGGCCGTGTTATCTGATCGTTTTACATACACATATTAAAGTGGACCTGTCGCCTGGTTATGCAGATTCAAGTATTTACATATTCTTAACCACTGTTCCCTGCGCTGTTTTAAAACGCTCCTTCGGGCCCCAACTGGCACTAATGCTGAAATCGCTGGCTCGCTGTGACAGCCGGGGTCCAGCTGCAACGGTCAGCTCCTGGGATTTCGATGCTGCAGATGTATGCTTCCACATCGTCTTTACCTTCTATGAGTACGGAGCCTCATGCAGAGCTGTTGCAGCTCTGTCCACCCTTTCCTATACAGCAGTAGATTGCTGCTATAGTGACCTATTGCTGGCTGATTTCTATAGTGACCTATTGCTGGCTTTTTGATATAGTGACCTATTGCTGGCTAATTTTTATAGTGACCTATTCCTGGATGATTGCTATAGTGACCTATTGCTGCCTGACTGCTATAGTGACCTATTGTTGGCTGACTGCTATAGTACTGTTTCTGGCTGATTTCTATAGTGAACTATTGCTTTTTTTTGCTAAAGTGACCTATTGTTGGCTGGTATAGTGACATATTGCTGGATGATTGGTATAGTACTATTGCTGGCTGATTTCTATAGTGACCTATTGCTGGCTCAGTGCTATAGTGACCTATTGCTGGCTGATTTCTATAGTGACCTATTGCTGGCTTTTTGCTAAAGTGACCTATTGTTGGCTGGTATAGTGACCTATTGCTAACTGATTGCTGTAGTGATCAATTGATGGCTGATTTCTATAGAGACCTATTGCTGGCTGATTTTTATAGTGACCTATTGCTGGATGATTGCTACAGTGACCTACTGCTGGCTGATTGCTATAGTGACCTATTGCTGGGTTATTGCTACATTGATCTATTTTTTTTGCTGATTTCTATAGTGACCTATTGCTGGCTGATTTCTGTAGTGACCTATTGCTGGCTGATTGCTGTAGTGGCCTATTGCTGGCTGATTGCTATAGTGACCTATTGCTGGCTGATTTCTGCAGTGACCTATTGCTGGCCAGCTGTAGTGACCTATTGCTGGCTGATTTCTGCGGTGACCTATTGCTGGCTGATTTCTGCAGTGACCTATTGCTGGCCAGCTGTAGTGACCTATTGCTGGCTGATTTCTGCGGTGACCTATTGCTGGCTGATTTCTGCAGTGACCTATTGCTGGCTGTTTGCTGCAGTGACCTATTGCTGGCTGATTTCTGCAGTGACCTATTGCTGGCTGTTTGCTGTAGTGACCTATTGCTGGCTGATTTCTGTAGTGACCTATTGCTGGCTGATTGCTGTAGTGACCTATTGCTGGCTGATTGCTATAGTGACCTATTGCTGGCTGATTGCTATAGTGACCTATTGCTGGCTGATTGCTATAGTGACCTATTGCTGCCTGTTTGCAGCCAGCCATAGATGACTATTAGAAGTGATCTGCTATGTGTCTACTCTATGTACTGTATACCTAAAAAGTTCATTGAAAAGACTACAGACTGCAGCATTAAAGCATTACTATACCCCAAAAACAAGCATTTAATATATTGCAGCCTAGCAGTCATATGCTGCATTAGTTTTCTTCCCTCAGGGCTGCAGAACCTTGCCCCTCTCCTGTCATTTATAACATAGATGGGAGTGGTTCTGATGTCCTCAGAGATAGCTGGGAAGAGGGCAATTAGTAACAGTCAGCACAGACCTAGAACACAGGATGTTATCAGCTCACAAGATTCCTGGCAGGATCAACGTTTTTTTTTGTTGCACTTTTTGGAACATATATAACAAAACGCTTTCAATGGTGTATTTGGAAGACCAAAAAGGGGTGCAACGAGGAGTTCATTTTTAGGGTTTACATCCACTTGAATGGGACCTCACATTAGGTAATATGAAGCAGATTAGCAGGCAAGGGTTTGCACTCTTCAGGTGTTCTAGACTTGAGTATTAAATGACTGGTTCCCTTTAAAGTACAACGAAAGGCTCCTTCCTGCTCCTATGTGATGCACAAACCTCATAAAGTAAACAAAACACTTCCTTTACCTCTCCTGACTGAGCCAAATCCTCTGTCTCACGCGCTCCCCTCCCAGGCACTGCAGCTCACAGTGGGAGGTTCCACCATGAGTGCAATCTAGAATGTAGTGGGAAGGTCTGAGTGTGGCCAGGCTCTCCTCTCCTCCGCCTGTCACCAGCGCCGGCAGAGCGATCGGATATTATTTCTCAGATGTTCCATTAGCACAGCCAAGTGATGGAATTATCATCGGAGGCGCTCGGCGTGTCGCCGGTGACAGCTCGGCTGTGAGCGGCACACGGAGATGACAGGCCGGATCCCCCCTGGTATGGCGCGGAGGTCTGCGCGTGTCTCCGCTCATCGCCGCGGATTAATAGAAATGTTCTGCTTGTGTTCTCAATTCCGGAGAGCGACGACGCTAATAACACGGAGCGGCTGGCGTGTCACGCGGAACCAAGGGAGAGATTTGCAGCGGCTGGCGTGTCGGGAGATGACAGGCTCCGCTCCGAAGGCGCCAACACGCGTTATACACCCTTTCGTATAGCAATTGTTTAATTAGAAAGCTCATATAGCATATAAAAGCCTTCGAGCCTCAGTCCAGTGACTTTGCCCAAGCTGAGATGGTGTCATCAGTTTGCTGCAGGCAGGAGGAAGCATTTCCTTAGTCTCCTCTCTCTCCAGTGATCAGTCTGCTGCAGGCAGGAGGAAGCATTTCCTTAGTCTCCTCTCTCCCCAGTGATCAGTCTGCTGCAGGCAGGAGGAAGCATTTCCTCAGTCTCCCCTCCTGATTGTCCTGGAAAGCTGGCTCCGTGCTGATTGGCTGGGAAGCCGGCTTCCCAGCCAACAGCATGGAGCTGGCTGAACAGCCGACTCAATGCTGATTGGCTGGAAAGCCATCTTTCCAGCCAATCAGCATAGAGCCGGCTTTCCTGGCCAATCAGGAGGCCGGAAGGTGGGTCATTACTTGCCGCCCTGATTGGCTGGGAAGCCGCCTTGGTGCTGATTGGCTGTGAAGCCGGTTTCCCGATCAATCACAATCGAGCAAGGCCATACAACATGGAGCTGGTTTCCGGGGCAACCAGGAAGCCGGAAGGCATGTCATTACCCGCCACCCGGCTTCCTGATTGCCAG